CATCCAGGGGGGAGTAGAAATACTCCTAGTCGCTTCATACTACAGCAACCGGAGATAAGCACCGGCCTGATTGGCCACTTGGCTCGTTTGTGGACTTTTTCTTAGTTTGTTGTTAGGAAGAATTGAATCGCAAATGATCTGTTCTTCTCTTGACAGGTTTTCATGGCTTGGTATCAACTGACTCTAGTCCGCCGTCGCTTACTAAAAGAATGGCGTATGTACAAGACTAAGAAGCTGTTCAGATTATGGATGCAAAAGTACAATGAATCTTGAACTCCAACCAAACAGCATCATTGGAAATCTTAGAAGACAAACTACTAGTTATTTCCTTGTGTGAAAAAATGTCAAATCACCTTCTTTACATAGTTAGGCTCTGTTCACACTAGCGACATAACAACATAATCGCTCATGTCGGTAATGTGAACATTGACATAAAGAAAACGGAAGTATCAGTTTTTCCCCCTAATCTCCATAAGTTCATGTTGTTATGTTGCTATTAGATCATTATGCCAGGATATTCACACTGCAAACATAACGACAAACCGTATTTCTTATGTCGTTATGTTGTTAGTGTGAACTAGGCCATACAGGCACCAACGTATATAATGTAAAATCATTCCAAAGAAAAGAGCAAAAGAATCATGTTATTTTGTTATTTATTTTTACAGTATTTTCTATTTCCAAGATTAAATGATGTACAAGATGATTTTAGTTACAGAAGGTAGATATTTAATAAATCTAGAATTAACTATTTATTTTGTAGAGCAACTTTTGTGTAAAATATTGACAGGGCTTGAAAATCGTCCCGTGACATCCATACGTTTTGGTCGCAAAATCTTCAATCGGGATAATTTTTTTGTGGGATAAGAGAGAACTGGTTGTAGCATGAATATAAGAATTATACAAATGGAATGAAATAAAGGATTTTTTTAGTAATATATACCGTAGTAAAGCGGGCTTTCAGATTTCAACTGAGCAAGGAGGGAGAACATTTTTTACTTTGGTGGAATCGAAAGTAATTTCGCTTGTTTTGGTTTTGAATTTCTACGCTAAGTGATCTGCTAAGAAAATTCGCGCCACTTTGTTCCCTAATCAGAAGTAAAACCAAAACCAATCGTGACTCAATTGCACATGTTTTCCCGCGCTTCCTGCTGCCTTGCTTCGGGTCTCGATTGGTTCACTGTATTGGCTGTGTCCTTTATGATTGGCCAGAGTGATTACTTTGCGACACACAACTGAAAATCGCTCTAACTGCATGTGTTGTTTAGATTTGTGTTTGGCGAGCTCGCCGATTGGTAAAAAGAAAACCCTTGTTACGTATACTCGTAACCAATCAAAGCAAAGGAATTTTCTCGGCCAATCAGGTTCAATGCCGAAATCGCGACTTTCCCACGCTTGGCGCGGGTTACCCGGTTTAAGTTTGAATTTTGATTGGTTAATTGAGTTATATGCCGCCAAAGTGATTGGTGCAATGAGTTCTTTTTGCTTTGCTTTTATAACAGCAAGAGGAAAACCGCTCCGTAGGCAGACCACAATTACTTTGTAACTAAATTATAAGTGTAATATAAGAAAGACCAATAACGAAATCAAGGAAACATTGGCGTAGGTTAAAGCTGAATAAACGTTTTATCTACAATCGAACGACCTCTCTATATTATTGTAAAAGCTGTTTAGACTCGCGGCTTCCTAGAACACGAGCTTGTAAATGCAGACTGTAGAGTCGTTATTCACTGTAGATACTTTTAAGTCGTTTCGCTTACTCTGTAGACCAACACTGGGATATTGGCTTGCTGTCTTCCAGTTTTTGAAACCGGCTAAACTTGTTGAAAATGATTGGCAGCAGTGGTGTGATGAGAATAACGCCTGAAAGAGAACATGCTCCGCCAACAATCTTGCCAGCTGTCAGAGGAGTGAGAGAGAAAGAAAAGGAGAACTGTTTTAATTCAATCATTTCCATGGCCTTCAACTTATACCGTAAACAAGCCTCCCCCTAGCTACTGACAGTACGCCCTACCCTTTCAAATATCATTCGCAATGTAAGCTTCTTGGGAATACTTGTGAATAATCGATGTTTCTCTTTTCCCATCTGTTTCCCATGAGTAACATTGATCGAGGTCAGCTACAGTTTGTGCTGAAGGTTCACGTGGTCTAACCTCAGATGAGAAACCGTTTCTACGACAAGAGCAACTGAGACATAAGACAGTTCAAGAATGCGGGCGACGTATTTAGTCTCCGTTGTAGGCGTAAACAGGGAAGGGTTAGAGGAGGCGAAAAACACTGTCCTTTCCCCTCTCATACTACCTTTATACATACAACATCATGTAATTGTAAAAAGTGAAAATACGAAATATTTGGACGGTAACTATAATTTTCGTGAAATTATGTTTTCTTACGAATACCTGGAGGTTTTGAGAACTACAGATAAGCGTACGCGACAATAACGAATAATTATAGGTCATGATAGTTCACAGTTAGGTTAATTGAAGCTCACAGAGTTATGATTAAGACGCGATGAAAACCAAAAGAAACTGTATTCTGATGAATACGCTATTCGTGATTTTCCCCTTCAATACCGTGAAGTTTGATCAATGAAACGGTGAACTCTACATCGTTGCGATAAACATGAATTCATTGTTTGGCACCTTTATCTTGGTTTTGCCAAATCCGCTCAGCCAATCAAATGGTGCCAGAGGTCAAGAAGTCAAAAGATGCACGTGCCAAGAATCAACACGTGCGGCTTATGGCTTTTTGATGCGTTTAGAAGTTTAGAAAACCAACAGAAACACGCCAAAAGTAACAAAAATCTTTCATGAGCAACTACGACCTTCGATTAATCCTTTTAGCGATAAATTCCTGCTCTTATCTCGAGCTTGCAATGTGCGCGGGGTGAACTGAACTCCGGCTGGATGAAGACGATAGCAAGATGGGATAAGAGTAGGAATCAAAAGCTTAAAATCTGTTCCAGTTTACACTTACCTAGAGTATTCGGGACCATATCACCATAGCCCAGTGTCGTAATCGTGACCACTGCCCACCAGCATGCGTCAGGAATACTGTGGAACGCTGTAGTTTTGTCCCACTGCTCGCAGTAGTACACTATAATGCCGAATAAAATTGTTCCGATAAGCGTTAGCGAAAAAACCGTCCAAAGATCGAACAGACACGCTCTGGCGGTTTTACCGAGTACTTTCATTGTGGACATGTAGCGCGAGATTTTTAGCACTCGGAAGATCTTTGAAAGGTGGAAGATTTTGATGACGAAAATGGGCACGACTTGGCTCTTAGACGTCATCAAGGAAATATAGAACGGAAGAATCGCTGCGATATCTACGACGGTTAAAAACCTTCGCAGAAATCTGCCCTTTTGTGGAGAAATAACAAAGCGCGCTACTAGTTCTACCGTGAACCAAGCCATGCAAAATTCTTCAGCTCGCAAGATGAAATATTTCAGGGCATTATGTGAGGTGCTGTTGTAGGTTGGCTGACTAGTGTTTCGGTTTGCTCCCAAGCTTAGGTTCGTACGAGTGTTGTAGACGTCCTGTTCGGAATCCAAATTTCGCACACTTGGCAGGGTTTCTATGCACAGAATGACAACAGCAAATACTATGACAACCAGCGAGAATAAACTGGTGATTCGTGCAAGCGGGCTAGATTCGGGAATCTCGCATAATTCCCAAAACTTTTGTCGACAAGTCTCCCTTGGACTGTCACGCTTCACCGCGCTAGGAAGAGGTAAGTTGTAATGTTTCTCTTCCGGGCTCAAATAATCGTAAAGTCCAAAGAAATGCAATTCATCTGCCACAAGCTGCTGGCAAAACGTTTTTGTAGGAAAAACTAACATTCCACTTGTTGCGTAAAAGTAGAACACGCTTTCAAAAGTAGTTCGATTTCTGTCGAAGAATAGTTCGCCATTTTCTACGTCATAGTACAGTTCTCGCTTTGCAGGATCGGCTAGCAAACTTTTCGGAAAATTCTGAAGTTGCTGTAAAGATATTTCGTACCGTCTTCCGCTGACATTAATTTGTAGCTTTTCCTCTCGGAGTAACAGTTGCTTGCTTCTAATACTGTTGCTTTCTGTTTTCGGGGTCAGTTGCTCTTCATTCCGTCTGCGTAGAATTAAAGTTGCAGTCCCCCTGCGTAAATGTTTCGGTGTAGCTGGAAAGGCTTCCAAATTTGATGGCTTCCCATAGAAAGGTAGCATCTTCGGCGTTGCCTCGGCAGACTGTGTGCGTTTCTAACCAGATATTCTACGCGTACCTCCTGTTTTATTAATCGCATTATCAAAGAGCTTGTAAGCAAGAGCCAGACCGCATATTTTTTTTGTTTATCTATTATCCTTAACCCCGTCAACAGATTTTGTTTTATGCGATCTGTCATCGAGGTCAATCTGTTTCATTTCTGAAGCAATTAACTACTATCTCAAGCAGTCGAAAGGGCTTTAAATTCTTCAAACCTGTGGCGAGGATTGAAATTTCTTTTTGATCATCTCTCAATTTGAAGCTGTATCGAAATATAACAAACAGCGACTCAACTTGGTTTTAATAACAATTATCAATTTAAAGGATCATTGCCAGATCTGATACAATCTCTATTGCAGGATTGTCGATTCACCTGATTTACATAATTGAATAATATCTGCTTACCCTGGAAGCATTTTAAGTGTTACTTTTCGTGTTTTTAATTCGAAGTTCTTCTGTTGGTTCTATTTTTCAGCTTTTTGTACATCTCAGTTATTTTGCCGTGGTGAACATATTAAAGACGACTACAACATCTTTTTTTTGACTCGCAACAAAATGTGCGACCGACTCCCTTCGTTGACTAAATAATAAAAGATAACATTTATATTTATCTTTCGGTTAACGTTCACACCAAGCGTTCTGAACGAAGGACAGGCCGCGGAAAATATGTTTGGTTAACTAGGGCTTGATATGTTTCTGGATGTCAAGGGTTACGATTATTATTTGTGTATCACGCTCGTTAAAGCAAGATTTCTCGCTGTAAGAAACTAAAAAAAAAAGTTTTTTACATCTGGTAATAATCTTCCTAACTTAACTCAATTACAGTCTTTTCAGGAGTTTGAGGTTAACTAAAGACGTCTTACTGACATTTAATAACTCCGCAGCTGGATATTATTTGCGAATGGACCATCACCCGCTGGAAAGGAGGAACAAAATTGTGCGAGCCTGTGGGACTAAAAGCAAATTCTTTGTCCCTTGACGTAGTTTACACTCGAAAAAAAATCGATACCACAAACTTTCAGATGACCATACTAGTCCTAGGAACTTAAAATGCGTTAAAAATATGCTGTGATCCAGTTATATTCCCAAGTTTACACAAGGAGAAAGCCACTAGTCCATTCCTATTTTTCCCAATCCAGATTTTTCCCAGCACTGTGCCTCATTTCTATGCTCAAAACCAGGTTCTTTCGTCTTTTCACAAGAAATTTCACGATTTGTTATGGCTGTGCACATCGATAAAATTTACCTGTTTGTTTTGCTTGTCTCGGGACTAACTTACACTACTGTGAGTTATCAAGAACTCCCACGAGGTCATGGCGAAGAATTAGGCAAGCACAGAGATTCTGAAGGCCATGTGGACATTTTACACGATCTTCCTTCTCCGCAAGAGTTTTGGGATCAATATGCTAGTGCTCGCAAACCCGTTATATTTCGCGGTGCAGCGAAAAACTTTCCTGCCTTTCATTTGTGGACTGATCAATATTTGAAAGAAAGTTACGGTGAACTAGAAGTCAAGCTAGAAGCGAAACGAGAGAAAGATCATGTCCCGGTCGGAGAAAGAGGTCTTGGTAGGGACACGATTCGAAGTTTTCTCGAAACTTATCAACAAAAAGATTCCTACACTGTTTCGCAACTTCCGGATCCTTTATCGACTGAAGTAAGGGTTTTGCCCTTTCTGATGTGTGGTACGTTCAGTGAGAGAATTTTAGAAGCGAACCTTTGGTTGAGTTCTGGTGGAACAAGAAGTATGCTTCATAAAGATGCTGATAATGCAATCAACTGTTTGCTAAACGGAACTAAAGATTGGATCTTAGTTCACCCTGAGAACGAAGAAAATGTAAGTTTAAACTCGCATTATAGCTGATTTTAATCTAAGCGTTTATTTTATCCCAAGCAAAGTTCAAAATGACAAAATTCTGGCAACGAAAAATAGTCACTGAAGTTGAATACGTAATTCAATCAAAGCTTACTTGTTTAGTCGTGTAAAAATCCTTCAGTGTTCACGCGTTGCAATTATATGCAAATACTTCCATGTTGTCAAAACCATGGAAATTGACTCAGATTTTTGACAACAACACCTGTTTCCGTGGAAGCACAATATTTTTAATACTTAAATGAAAATCTGATGTTTTATATTTTATGGAACCTTTTATTTATTATTAAAATTAAAATACTGTTAGGGTAAAATAAATATTTAAACTGGTATATAGCAGGTACACGCTGGTGACTTGACTTGGTAAATATCTCCCATTATTCACCTGCAAGTTAAAGGTGCTGTTTTGAACAATGGTGATAATTGCTGATTACTCAAAGTCATAAGAGTCAGTAAATACCCCTGTGAACAGACATGCTTGGAACCAGAAGAAAATTGTTCCCACAGGTGTCTCCTTATGGAAGGTTAATAACCTCACTCCATTTGATTTTCTCCCATAGCAATCTGATGAAAGAAATGAGATTTTGATTTCTTTGCCTTAGTTTATAATTTATAAAAGGCACAATGTGTAGTTCCAGAAAATATCCATACCCACCCTAAGGAAGGTTCATGGAAATTTCAAGGGGGAGGGAGGTTTCAAAAGCCCAGTCTTTAAAAGGAAAGTATGACACTAAAATGGAATTTCCGNGGGGGGGGGGGTTGGGTTCAAGCTACAAACCCTTCCTTGGGAGGGGTATAGATATTTTCCGGAACAACACAGCACAGTACAATAAAGATCAGTGCATGTTATTTCACCCCGTCACCTGTAGGGTGAGTTGGAGTGAAATATTAATACCATAAATCCTCGAATTAGCACCTGGGGCACTTATTTCAAATTTAGGAGAAAATGGGAGGCGCTCATTCAAGGGGGGCGCTTATTTAATTTTTCCCAAACGGTGGCCTGGCATGATCGTTTTTTTCAATACATCATCTGCACGTAATCAACAACCTGAGTTGTTTGTCGACATAAAAAGCTGATCCTAAAGTTTGTCTAACGTGTTCACAAACTGAAACAATGTACAAATCTAATACTATACGGCCTTCGTTGTCTCAGTACTCGTCCACAAAATGGGGGGAGGGGATGGGGTGCTTATTAGAGGAGGGGCACTTATTTTAAATTTTGGCCGATAGGAGGGGCTCTGATTTAAAGGGGGTGGTTATCGAAGGGGGGCACTAATTCAAGGATTTACAGTATGTAATCTTTATGAGAGCATATTTACAACCATAGGTTGATCCAGAGTTCTTTATAGGGTTGGGGTCCCAAGATTTGTCCAGTCCTTTGCACCTTATTAAATTAAAGTGGGACCCTCCAAAAATTCAGTATTTTAGATATTTTCAGCAATAAGGGGGAAAGGGCAGGACTTGGGTCTCTTCCCTAAATTTGCCACTGATAACAGAAATAGATATTTTATTTCTTATTCATGCGTGGCTCATGATTTTGTGAATTGTAGATACCCATGGCTGATGGAGACAGGGGTTATGGAGGATTTGCCACCCTGGATGTTCAAAGTGTGAATCTTATCAAGTATCCCAGGTTTAAACAAGTAAGATGGCAATATGCAAATATGACACCAGGGGATTGCCTCTTCTTACCTTACAGTAAGTGATGCTATTGGTTACAATTTTAAGGCATGTTTATTTAGAGAGATTACATAAACTTGCTTACTACAACTTTCCAGTGAGAAATATGATTCAGACCTTGTCCAATTCAACAGAAGTAATTGACACTATTTGTTTAAATGTAAATTCTTGTCTTATAGCCCTTTGGTTTGTTGCACATTGTTGAACTTGGCTTAGACGTCAAGGAAATTGGAAATTAGAAGACTTCAGGGATCTTTGGATCATCTCCAAAAATCTTTAGAAGTCCTGTTAGTCGCCACCTTCCCCCACCCTTCCCCCACAAAAAAGGAAAATGGAAATATACTTTGTTTGACACAGAAAACAGTGTAGCAGGTGCAGAGGCTGTGTTATAACATAGATTTGTTTCTTGTTGTTGTTTACAGGTTATTGGCACCAGGTGCGATCTTATGGCTCAAAGAACATGGCTGTTTCAGTCCTGTTCTCACGGCTGACAGAATTTGACCCAACAGGCTGTGAAAATGCCAAGTTAGAATACACACCCTTGTCAGATGTGAACATGGTTTGGACCTATCCAGGGCATGGACCCCAAACCATGGGCAATATAGACCCATTTGAAATGAAGTATGCAGCATCTATAGATTTTAAAAATGAAAATTTAAAACTGTAAATTGAAGGGTATTTCTTTTCAAGTTAACTACAAATAAAGAGCTTGAATCAAGCATGGTTCTTAAAAGTAGCTGTGTGTAGGCCTCACTACAAAAGCCCAAAAAATGATCTAAAAATCTGTGGAAATTCCCAATTTCATCTTATAAAACCCCTCTTAAAATTTCAAAATATCTCAAAAATTTTCTTAAAATGGCCAAATATAGCACAATTTTTTTTAAAGTGAAACCTCAGCTCATCCCCCCCCCCCTCCTTGAGCCTCAGTTTAGCTCCGCTGCCATGTTTGAACATTTACTGACCACTTACTTCCATAGGAATGGTGGAAAACATTTCAGAGGATGGAAACACTGCTGTAAGGTTGGATTGCAGCTACCAATTGGCAATAGTAAACAACTTGCACGAAAATGGATTCAAATTGTCATTTTGTTGGAATTCTAAATAAAGCGAGAAAGCATTTTTCTTCAAAATCAGCTAATAATCTAAAAATCCTGCAAAAATTCTATTTTTTTAATTCCAAAATGTCTACAAATTTTCTGAAACCTTAAAAATCCTAAAATATCCAGCTTTTTGTATCTAGGACTTAATCTGGGTGCCAGCAGAAATGGCTAACTTCTTCTTGGTCTTACATGTAGTGGAGGAGACCACTGGGCTTTTTGGAGTCCTACAGTACATCTCAAAAAGCACAGATCACAAGTTATTTGTATTCTTGGTGCTAATGATTTTCAACTGATTTTTGTTTGGCAGAGATGAGTACCTCTCTCAGTTTGAAGGAAGAGAAGATAGACGACTGTTTGTGGATGATATCTTTCAACAGTTGACTGAGGTAAGGAAGGCAAATCGAAGCTTTCTTTATAAATGCATCAAGAATTTGACAGTCTCAGCACAGTGAGGGACATGTTATGTGACAGTGTAGTTTGTCGTTGTTTTTAAAGGGAGGAATCATGGAAGAACACGATGATGCAAGGAGAGATATTGCAGAAAAGGTAAGGCCTAATGGAATTTACTTAACTCTTAAGATGCCTTTTATTCCTAGGTCTTGCAAGAACATTCTGGAAATACATTGTCCAGAATTAGTTAGTGTCATAAGACATTTCCATCTAATTCAACAATTTTTAATAATTTCCTTCTTTGACTAACAGTGACTTCTGATAGCAGTGCCTGAGTAAGCTAAATGATCAAATTAGGATGCTCACTTGTCCAAACATCAATGTCTAACTGGGAGAATGTATTTTTGCCTTATTTGTGAAGGTCTTTAAAGTAATGGATGCCGACAACAAAGGTTATGTCACTAAACAAGACATTGAGGCACTGACGGTTGAACAAGTGAAACAGATGGCTAATGAAGTGGATGGTGACCCTGCTAACACTGAGGAATATGAGTTCGCTCTGTTTGATCTTGCTGAAGTCAAGTAAGGGATACATAATGAAAACTAAGGCCCCATCCACACTACGCGGGAGAAATTTGAAAACGAAGCTTGATCTCTACAGTGAAGCCTAGTCCGTCCACACTAATCCGTTATGAAAACGGAGCTTTTCGAAAACGCTCTTCAAACCGGAGGAATTTGAAGACACCAGCTTTGCGTTTTAATGTGGACGGAAACATTTTGAATACGGAGGTTTTCGAAAGCCGATGACGTCTTGATAATCTTGTGATTAACCGTAACCCTCAAGGGTGCACTTAAGCTTTTCTGCTGTCAGTGATTATTACGTTTTCAAATTTCTCCGGCGTGATGTGGACGGAAAACTAATGATGCGTTTTCGGAGGGAAAACGCCTTAGGCCCCGTGCACACTACACGCGTGAGAGAGCGCGTGGTATAGAAAGTTTTTTTGTGCTTGGCATAGAAATGCGTTCAAAACAGAAGGAGAGTGAAGAAAATTCAAGACAAAGTGATCTTTGCCTGCAGAATGCTGGTGATCAAACGGTTGTTTTTATAACTTACATTGTAACTTATAATGTACATCGTAACTATGAGTACAAAAGAAAGGCTGTTGTTTTCGTTGTTACGTATGTACTTTAAGCAAAATGTTGTTAGGGTGTTGATCAGACTTTTCTCATTTTCAGGTCTGTTTTTGACAAGGCTCTGGAAGATGGTGACGGGAAACTTACGGTTAAAAACCTGATAGTACGCTATGAGGTAAGGAAGTCCAAAATAAAAACCAAGGCCACAAGTAATCAAGTAGCTGGTGGGATTCACCAATCAGAACTTGAATCGAAGTCATTTGACTGGCAGTATTAAGGTGATGGAATTGAAAGCATGCGTACGTCTGATTACAACAAGCGCGGGAAAACGTGTAAGCGGCAGGAAGCGCCGTTAGATAGCCTGTGATAAATGCGAAAAACACGAGAAAACAAGTAAGCGGCGCCAGTTGCGGTAAAAGCTGTAACAGGTGTCAAGCACCCGAAAACACGTTGCTGGCAGAAGGGGTGGGAGGACATGTAACCGGCACTGGTAAACGAGGGAGAATATGTTTCCATTGAAAAGGGCGGGAAAACATGTACCCGGTGACAAGCGCTGGAAAGCACGTAACCTGTGTAACCTGTGCATATGGCAACCTCGATACCAGTTTCTCTCTCCTTTGCCTTTGAGAGAGAGAGAGCCTTGCATCAATGTTGTGCACACGGCAAGCGCGGGAAAACACGTCACTAGTGACGTGTTATTGGTTAGCAAATGTTTGGTTTTGATTGGCTGATAAGACAGCAACTTTGTTTTCTTCAGTTGCACGGTATAATTTTAACAAACCCTTCCCTACCAGAGCCAAACACCCTCTCCAACCGGCAGCCGTAATGATATTTTTTCCAAAACCGGAGGTAATTGATTAAAGCCATCGCGAACAACCGGGCTATCAGTAATGTCTTTTGTTTGAGGACGAATATATACGTCCTTGGAAGAGAATTCTCATTCAGAAAAACAAATGCAAGGCCAAAGAAAACACTTATACATATACAGTGCAACCCGATGACGAACGCGCTCGTAACCATAAAATTTGTCATAGAAGTTAAGGAAATTGATAGATATATCTTTAGTTAATTCTTCACTTCCAGAAATAACGTTAACAACGAAAACTACTGTAATGTATAGTTTTGGAAAGTTATCAGCAAATTATCCGTTTCTATGTTGCAGGATTTTGGTGGCTCAGCCAAGGTAGCCAGAGAACTTTACAGCATGCTTCAGCCTGAAAATACTGACTTTGTGTCCGAAGACGAAATGAGGGAGCGTCTTGATGATGTGTTGAAGCTATATCTGAAAAAGAAAGATGATGACAAATCAGGTCAGTCAATAAAATCTTTACGTTTGTTTCCCGGATCTTTGCATATCTCATTTCCGTCAGTGATACTCTTGTCGATAGGAGCTTCGCGCCACATTTTAAAGTTCTTGTTACAGTGCATAAAGTTACAGTTTAGAAAACGCAAAATAGTTGTTATATTTGGGGTCGAAAAATACCATTTAGGTAGCTCCTCACCTAACAGGCACAAAGATGGGGAAGATAGAGGCAGATTTAATCTTTGAACTTGGCGAAGAAGAAGACGACAAAGAAAATAACAAAGTTAAAGAAAGAATGTATAAACTGCTTCCAAAACTAGGCAACAATAACTTGTCTAATTTAATTTTTCCGACTTTGTAATTTGGATGATGTCTCCGTGTGTAGCTTAAAATCTTGAACTGATATGTCAGGTTTTTCCCGTACCATTGTTGACTGTGGTGTGTTATGGAAGGCCAATTACTCAAAAACCAACATTTCTCAAATTCCAATTCGATCCTTGAATGCACGGACATTTCTGAACGAGTTCTGTGAACTCCTTGGTGCTCCGTGGGTAAACAAATTACATTTACATTTACATTTACTAATAGCAATGCTCTTTTCATTGCTTTTTGGTCATTTTTTCTGCAGGAATTTACTACGAAAAAGAGTGGGCCGAAGATAAGGAGATTATGAAGAAAACTTTGCCATCAGCCGTAGACAACTTGGACTCCATACAGACGGAATTACCACACACTGAGCTGTGACTGAAATCGTACTTCCCAGCTATTTTCAAAAGTTTTCAGTCGTCACGCAACTCTCCTTGAGAGGCGTGTTGCGTGACGGATTGTAACTGACGCATCGCTGCTATTCTGAATTGTTTGTCAAAAACATTCATACGTACAAAAGAAGGAAATATTTTCAGCAACTGCTAAAAAAATGCAAGAATTTAAGTATTTATAGAGCCGGTAAAAAACTAAGTTTTTTTTTTAACTCTTCCAAAGATGGATTTATGAAAGAATGAAATAAGTTCAATAAAATATCAACACAAGAAACCCTCATAAACGTTATAAGTAGTACCCAGGCCACACGCCGAGGTGTGATCTCCCATGCGAGCAAATACCGCCATATTGTTTCATTTTTGGGGCGAAGAGTAGGTCTCACCACCTTGCTGTCTCTCGTCAAAGTGAGTAAGTCAGTAGGATGCAAAACAATAAAAGCAGACAGGAAATTTTGACAAAATTCCAAGCAAACTTTGTTTACGATTTCCCCGCAAGAGCGATTTTGCGGCGTTCCTCCGCAAGAACAGAGAAGGAGGGGATAGCAGAGGGAGGGAAGCAAGCTCATTTCCAGAAAGAAAAGTCGTTTGCAAGCGGGCGACCTCAATAGCTGTACTATAAATTTGTATTTTTGTCCGTATTTCAAACAAAAATACTGTGCTACCTTTGAGTAAAAAGCACGACAGTCTGGTAGCAAAACCATCTGCTTGGCGAGGTCAGGCTAGTTAAATTGCTTTACTAAATTAATTGTTCATGGATGACTTCTTTGACAAAAAATAAAAAGCATGAATTTTGATCAAGGCATTCCAGCAAGCAGTTAAACTCACGAGAGTAATGGCTACAGTAAACGTTTCTGAAGATGGAAAGCAGAACATTTTTGCGGCGGCTGAGCTGCTATACTGCTCATCAGATATAACCGCTGGAATACATGACCAGTTTACAGCTCTCCCAGTTTTAAACGCTTTTCTGTCCATTGCGGCATTTCTTGGAAATGCTTTGATCCTAGCCGCTCTTCGTAAGTCTTCACTTCATCCACCGTCCAAAGTCTTACTAAGTAACCTTGCAACTACTGATCTTTGAGCGCCTCGCTGTTATTTCTCTTATGTCTGTATTGGTTGAGAATTGGAAGATCTGTCGCTACGCAGTAGTCGTGCTTTCTATGACTAGTAATTCATTGTGTTTGGGGTCTCTGTTGACACTGACTGCAATAAGCGTGGACAGACTTCTTGCCCAGTTGTTGGGGCTGAGATACAGACAAGTTGTAACTTTGAAGCGAGCCTACCTGATCGTTGTTGCATTTTGGGCTGTATGCACCGTCTTTTCAACAATACAGTTTTTGAATTTCTTTATAGTCTTGTGGTGTGAAACTATACTTACATTATTTTGTCTAGTAACTTCGACCTTTTGTTATACAAAGATTTTCCTCACCCTCCGCCATAATCAAAACCAAGTACAAGAACATGTTCAACAACCGAACCAAACATACAGGAAGGTAGTGTCCACTGCACTTGGTTAACGTTCATGTTATTCGCTTGTTATCTGCCAGAAGTAATACTGGCAACTTTGCTCGGCATTCATGCTGAGCCATCTTCATCTGTTTGTCTCGCGTTTGGTTTTACAACTGCCTTAGTTTTTGTTAACTCGTCATTAAACCCGATTCTTTATTGCTGGAAGATAGACGAAGTGAGACAGGCTGTGAAGGACACAATCATAGAAGTACTTTGCTGTTGATCGAGTAATTTAGCTCTTGTGGAACTATTAGTTAGAGAACAGAATTTATGGGTAAATTAAAATCGTACAATGTCTATGAAATAAAACTTGTTATCCCTCTGTTATGCAAATTAAGCGGCAATATTAATACAGTTTACTTTGACCCATGTGTACACGAAGACAGAAAGTTGCTTTTGTTATTTATTTTCCAATTTGAACAGATTGAAAGTTTCACCTTTCATGGCTTAAATAGATATTCACTCAGTAAGTTATTGATTTTGTTAAAAGGATAATTTCCTTAGGTTGGTTCCATCTAATTGATGTCGTTAAGGTCATCTTCTAATGAATTTTTTGTAAAACAACTTTGTGAGACAGTTACCCGGTACAATGGTGAAGGTCTTCGCAGCCTCGCTTCAAAAAGTAAGGGTCTTTTTCAGATGACGTGCCGCACTAGTTAATGAAGAACATCCTCCTAACTTTAACTAGTGAGACAATCTCAGATAGTGCAGAGCGCAATTGATAGCTCTGATACAGTAGTCCCATAAGTACTCACCCTTTCTCGGTTCACTTCCGGTTTGTGTCTACCTTGGTAGTCTGCTACGGCTTTTCCTCTTTGCAGTGTGTATGTTTCAAGGTTGT